GGAAGCAAGAAGGATATTCATATGTATGGTGGATAGGTAATTGATAGTGAAATCATAATCTGTAGCCTTTCCTGAGTCAAATGCATGTTGCCGAAGTAAATATCAAAGCAAGCTCATAATAGTTCCTGAGATGTACAGCAACACCAGGAGTGAAACATTTTTTGAATCATAACATTCAAAATTGAGATCTGGCTTTCCTGGCCAAATGTCTCAGCTGCAGAATGTACCTCCTCTTAGTAAAAAAAATGCTAACAACTATAGTTAGAATACCCATGAATATTCTTAGGCATGGTGAAACAAAAGAAGGATGACCTATTACTATTGAATCCTGAGCTTTGGGTACTTTTGATAGGGTATGTGATAGATATACAAAGACTTTTTACAGTTCTGTGGATGTTAAAAACTCTACATTTTGTATAACTGCTATTGCATGATGAACACTGCCAATCTTGAATGGAGCCAAGAAGCCTAGTTAAACCACTTAAGACACAACTTTACCCTAAAGTCTGCTGAAGACTTAGTCTTAAAAGAGAAATACCTTCGAACAACCAATATAAAGGAACAGGAAGAACAGCAGAAATATTGACATAGTGTTGGATGCACTAACAGTGGCATAACTTGGGCAGGGAGATACAGGCAACTATGTCAGCTGCCAATGGGGATGGGGAGTGAAAACACTGGCTTTTGCCAATGGTGCATGATTGTGATTGTGGCAGCAGCAGGAAGTCACTGCTGCCCCTGTATGCGGGAGCCACCCAGGCACCCAGCCATATTCTTACACTATGGTGTGGTTATTTATAGAACCTCTTTTTTTTGGATGGATAATTTTAAGAAACCAGACATATTCTCCAATTGTCTAATGTAGTGATTCTCAACAAGGGTGCTGCAGCAGCCAGGGGTGGCACCAATTCTTTTGAAGGGTGCCACAAAGTGTGAGGATATAAGAAGATAAGTGTAGGCTCATACTTGTTCTCACCTGGCCAATCTCTCATTCCTAATGCCAGCCCCTCCAGAAAGAGGCAAGCAACGTAATATATAAATTTGTTTTTGAAACTGGGTGCCACTCAGTTCATAACAGTTATGGAAGGATGCCTTGAGTGCAATGAGGGGAGTGTCTTGAGTCCAAAAAAGTTCAGGATCACTGGTTTGTTTTCACGCATTTTACACACAACAGGCATGTTGCGGCCACTTCTTCAAGGAATGAACAGGAAGGGAAATGTGTAACCAACACCTGGATTTATCTTATTCTTCTGATAACTATTACAATCTAATGAGCAATTTAAAGGAGTTCTGAAAGCCTAACATGATTTTGTAAAAGAGGTTTTGATTTTGTAAATAGAACTGTCTTTACTTGGTCTTTGCCCAAGGTGAAGGAGGACTTAAACCCAAACTTCTTTATTAAGGCTATTGCCTAAAATGTTAGCATTCCTGGCTGGTAGTGATGGAAATGAATCTATTTATGATACTGTAGATGTAGAACAAGCAAGAGACTGCCCAGGAATCTAACAACTTGCATCTAAAACAACATTTTCCTGAAAGATGATAGCTAACATGAGAATTTATTTTTAATTAAAACAAGTGTTGTTTAATGGGAGGATACAGCCTTTTTAACATTCTTCAATGAGATTATAGGAATTCCTGTGCAAGTACAGCATGGAACTGGAACATGCAAAAAGACTTGCCTAAAGTCAAGAAGTTTTTGGCTTAGCCAGAAACTGATTTTTTTTTTTTTTTTTTACTCCAAGCTAGTGCCCTAACCTCAAACACTCCCGCTCCTTTGTGTAGTTTAAGTCTGATACAAAGGTTATGATAAACTGAACAAGATTATTTGCCCTGATTCAAAAACTTCACAAGTCTTCAAATTTACACTGAAGCTTAGGGCAACACTGATCCTTCAGGGACTTAACACGTGGGGGAGAAGGTGTCAAAACTGAGTCTATACATGTTGGAGGGGAATCAGTCAGGTCCTTTGAGGCAGACAAAAATTGCCCCAATAAATTACCCTAATTAAGAATGACCATATTAACTGCTTTGACACTGATCATATCAAATACTACAGGGAAATTTAGATGGCTCAGTGGCTGCAGTCAGACATCTATTTCTATCAGAAAAAATTTATTTTGGTAGAAAAAAAACCCGAGAGATGGACTGTACAAACTTTCCTCCAATCCTATGACTGGAGAGCTTCGTAGGCAAGCTCTCCAGTCAAGGGGCACTAGAGGGCTGCTTCCTAGGCCCCCCCATCCTTAGAGGAACTCAAATTTATAGCATGCCTTCTCCCCTGCCTGGAAAAGAGGCAGACTGTCAAATGCCAATTGGCAGCTGCCACAGATAGCTGTAGAGGGTTCCTACCCCTGGAAGAGTTCCCCCACCCCATCCTATCAATCAGCTGGATTGGCAGGAAGGGGGCATTTCTCTGGGGTTGGAACCCTAACAGTTCTCTCCAACAGGAGAATAGGCCAGCTACTTGAGCTCCTCCTGGCTGACCTGCAGGAATGCAGAAGGGGGAACACTTAGTTGCTGTTGCAAGAAGCAAGCGAGTGCCTTGGAGCTTACTGCAGGGGCACAGCACCCTGCCTCACCCTGTAGTGCTCTGAGCTGATCAGCAATGTCAAGTCAGGAAGGGACATTTTGCTGCAGCAACACAGCTGCCTGTCTTGCCCCACACTACTCTGGACCAGCTGAGTGGTGGGGGACAGCTACTGAAAAGCCAACATGGTCAAAAGTTGGACATACAGAGGCTTTTCCCAAGACAGGCTCCTGGTCCCTCTGACATTTAAACTACTACTGAAAAAAGGAGCAGGGACAGGCAAAGGGAAGCCAGCATGGCCAAGAGCCAGGCTTATAAGCCCAGCTCCTGGTTGTGCTAGTTTTTCAACCACCACCCCTGTTGCTCAGCTGAGTAGCAGGTGGGGGAATGGGGAAAGAGGCAGGGGGCGAATTGGGGAGGTGGAATTGGGGGGAGCAGCTACCCCCCACACTTCCTTTAGATCAAGGTGACCCCAGTCTCAGGAAGAGAGGGGAGCCTTTCCCCTGGTTCTACTCCTCTTGCTCCCCAGGGGAGGTTGAGCCTGGAGAAGGAGTGCAGACATTCAGTCTCCTGGGAGAAACTCCCAGGAACAAGTTAAACTTATTTGTTCCCGATTTATTTTTCTCCTGGAGCAGCCATTTTTGCACTGGAAGAAAAACATTGAACATCTGCACACTTTGGGGTTACTAGGAGAATCACCATTCTCCTGACAGAGAACCTGAATGTATGTTGGCCAGGACTCCCGCAGTGTTTCTATCCCAGGGGTCAGAAACATTTTTGGGCAGAGTGCCAAAAACACTCACAACCTTTTAAGATGGCTTTTAAGGTGTTGGCATGACAAGGGCGGATGGTGGGGAAGCTACAAGGGGTCTGATCCTTGTCGTGGCAGTGCAGCCTTGCCCCTTCCAAGGTGTGCATGCTAAGCAAAATACCTTTGTGTGCCATGCTCTGGCACATATGCCCAGGCTTGCCTACCTCTGTTCTATCCCACGTTATGGGTTGAATTAAAAAAAGAAAAAGAAACAAGGAACATATCTATATATCAGCCCTATATGAGATGCAAGGTTCCTAGCATATTAAAAAGACTCTCTCAGAAATGGATAATGCTAAAAAACAGTACTTTGTATCTGAACTGAGTAGAAGCATTTTTGATGATTTGGGGAATTCACAGTCCAGAATAATTCAGAGAACATGTGCTTTAGTAGCTGCTAGATAAAGAAAGTGATTTGTTTACTTATTCCATGGCCAGAATGAAGTTTTGCAATAATAGCCTGGGTTGGAATCTGTCTACTCGTTATTTTTTACTACTAATGTTTCCATTTTCTTCTGTGCCAAATCAGAGACCAAGGTCCATAGTAGTGAGTGATTTGGTACTAGTACATTAATAGTTGTTATTAATGAACAGTCAGAGATTCAACTTGATATTTAATACTACAGACTTTGGGTGAGTTGCATTTATCTGCGCTGGTGTTTTGGAATTTGTCTGGGACAAGGAACAACGCAGTTGAGAGGAGGAACAACTCAAATTTAGAACAGGAAAGTATATTTTGCATGTCCTAAATCCTCAGAGTCTGACAGGTTATGTGACTAATGGCAGAGACTAGTGTAAAAAACTGGGCTTAGAAAGTGTAGATATGTGCCTCATATAACGAGTAACATAAATTATGAAATTCCCCACACTCACTGTATGGATACTTTCATCTCTTTGTTAGACAGCATCTCATTTTTTGGAAGCCTTGTGTATTTAGAAATGTGTGGATAAATAACCTCCACATGAGACACATCTTTGTATTTACAGAGTCATGGTGGTTGCTTGCAGACATTAAGAAAGAACCCCTACCCGGTGCTTTATTTTAACTCCAGTGCATTCCTGTGCCGAGCCCCGCGCATGACTGGAAGAGGCAGTGCATTACTTCAAGGTGGGTCTAAAGTGTCTATAAAGATCAGGCTCTATATATAGTGGGGCTTTTGTGACATTTTTATCTAATAGATGACTGAATCGGCTTTGTTTTTTTTTTTTAATGTCTACAAGCAGCCTGTATGACTTTTGAAAATTTTACCCCAAATCTTTCAAAATTAACAAAGGTGCTTCAGAATCTGTTGATGAAAGTCAATGGGATGTAGGTGTCTAAGTCACTTTTGAAAAAGGAAACAAGGCTCCAAAACCACATGGACACACTTGAAAACGTTACCTTTTGGAGATGCACTGGTAAAACTGAATGAAGAAGGTAGCTTGACATTTCAGTTTTCATATGTAGGTTACAAAAATGCAGCAGCAGCCTCAGTATCCAAATCAGCCATACTTTACTGCAGAGCATTGCTTTTTTACTTTCTTTTTTTAAAGTATACTTTTGGAACTCTGCATTTGCATTCTCATTTTTCTCAATATTCTCAAATAAACCCTGTTTGAGTAAGATCAAGTTGACACTGCATCACTTTGTTTCTGCAAAAAATGCCAGTCTTAGCTTACCTGTGTATGTTATCTTGACCAGAAGGAACAACCCCCAGGTTTGCTGCCTTAACTATTTTTTGAATTATTACAGAATGGGTGGAATTCTGTGGAGCAACAGTAATTGTAGTAGATGTCTCATTCATTCCTGCAAGCATTCCTGGAATATTAAGAGAAATAGTTCTTTATAAATATAATTTTTAAAGCAGGCTAGGAGGAACTGATAAATTGGTCTGTTACTGAATAAGGCCAAACCAAGAGACTTCTAAAACCATGTTTTCCCATATTTTCTAGAAGAAACTTACAAAAAAGTTAAACTTGTCAAATGTGAAAAAACTCCCAATTAACATGTTAAAATAAATCCTCATTGAAAAATTTACTAATATCATTACACAGATCATTATGCAGTTAATGCAACTGTGTAACCAAAGTGGCTCTTTTTTAGAAAGAGCACTTAATACATAAGAGCAAAGCAAACATACAGAGATGAAATATTAAATAAGCTATACTTGAACTATGGACGAAATATAAAGAATTCTTTTAAACTTCTAACCATGAATACCACTCTGCTTAATTATTTTATATCAGTTTGCTAAAAATAATCCTGAAATTCAGAGAGTAGTCAACAGATCAATTTAGTTCATAAAGTTATCAAATTAGAAACTTGGATAATCAGCTAGCATCAGTCTCTTTAAAATGTCACAATAAACTATAATTAAAATAGCTTAAGCATCAGTACAAAATAAAACTAAGGTGTCAACCTTCTATGCAAACACATGAAGAAAAGATGTAATAAAAATAAAAGTATAATAAAACTCCACTTCTTACATGAACATTCACTGGTTAGAACAGCATGCTACCAAGACATAGATGTCAATTAAAATCCAGAATTAAAGTACCTAGAGTTTAACACAGTGCACGTATCCTTACATGACAATCCAGAAGGAATATATTGTGCTTACGTGCTAAAAAGTATTGAATCTTGTACCTTACGTAGAAATGTGAAGCATTAAAAGCAGCATTAAATATTTATATCCACAATAAAATTTACCTAATCAAAGCTATTTAAAACTCTCAAAAATCCTAACCTTTTTAGGAACAATATATTGTAAATTCTATTAAAATGTCTATAAACTGATTAAAAATTAAAAGTGAACATTTTCATGTACTATAATTTGAATTAGTTTTCGTTGCAAACCTTGAAACACAAGGTAAAATAAAGTAGTTGATGAGCCATAAAGGAATATTTTGGAATATGATTTACTCATGAAAAGAGCAAACAAATACCCAACTTATATAAAGATCAGCATTAGCTTGGGAACAGTACATTCTGTTTCAAATTGTTTAACTTCAATATTAGGCAAAAGCTTTAAAAACTACATAAGCAGTCTAAAACTGCTTTTAAGCAGAGCACAGGGACTGACATAACACTGCTGAGAGATGTGTGTACTCATTTAGGATTTAAACCTTCTCCATTAAGCTCTATTGAAGAGCAAATGCTGAATAAATGAATGCAACTATGTTTATGTTAAAAGCCTGTTTCCCGCAGCATGTAATTAAAGGAAATGTTGTACAAAGCCAGTACTTTTGTCAAGCTCCTGTAAATGGAAAGATGGATAGCACTCAGAAAAGTGAATGCATTGCTTCATATTTAACCTTAACACTCTTGTCATTAATGGTTTGTCTAACTTGCTCTATAAAAGACAAGGTACTGCTCCATTGAAGTAAAATTAAAAAAAATCAACTAAACCATGCTTTTCAGAACAGAAGATTCATTATCGTCGACTAATGTATTGGCATAAAGCAAAGTAACATCCTATCAAGTAAGGCACACATTCAATCTGCCTTTCCACCCCCCTTTATTTTTAACTCATGCTGTTTTATTGTTATAGGCAATTTGTACCACTCAGCATGACAGTGTAAACTGAATCAAGATTAATTTACATGCAAAAGAACACTTAGGAGAGCAGCGTGGTAAGCAAATGTATTGTCTCGATTGCTGAGGTGGAAAAGAACCTGGAAAGAAAAAAAGGTGCTCTAATTAAGGGGCATCAAATATGATTGCTTGTGGTAGTTAAGGGCCAGAAAATAGTAAATGTCTGACCATTTAAAGAATTAGCAACTTGCTTGTTAGGAACACAAGTTGGATGCATAAATCTTAATAAAATTAAGTAAACATTCTGTGTTTTTTTTAAACCATGTTTTTCTGGATTAAAGTGCACCCATTATATTCACATTTAAGAATTTTACAAAATGATTTAAAAATGTACCTTGAAACAGACTGCAAAACATAGTACATCATTACTACTACATGCACATACATTTTCAAAATAAAAATGTTAATGATAGAAATAATGATTAATATCTAGTTATAAGAAACATGTGCCATCTTTAATGTTGCATTACTCACTGGAATCTAAGAAAACTCTGGTCAAAGCACAGAATGGCAAATAATCTGGGTAAACTGATTGGTACAATAACAAGAGTACATAGTTTGAATGATAAAAGGAAGGAAAATTGGAAAAAATAATAGTGATACATAACATGAAATGTATTATGTATCTGAGATTAAATTGAGTTCAATCCTGCTCCCATTCAAGTCAATTGGAGCATTGCCACTGATTTCAAAAGGAGCAAAGGCAGGAAAAAATGATAAGATGGCAGAGGCCCCAAAGCTAGTTTTCACTCGGTCAGAATTCCCACTACAACAAATAGGAATTTTGTCCAAATGCTGCAGGACCAGGCATGAGATGCTGAGGCTTAAACACTGGAATAAGTCTTTAAATCACAAAGTAAAAGACCAATGTAGTTTGATAATACCATGTTAATCTATTGCTTCAAAACGGTTAATCACAAAACCACAACATTAACTGCTGCTCAAGATTATGTTAGAATAGGAAATGAATTGCCCTGAAAGAGGTTTCCCAATGCAGAATTAAGGACACAGTAATAATATGGTAAGGCTCAAAATATAAAATTGAACATGTGGTTAAATATACAGCTTCAGTTTCCTAGTGCCGCCACTAGAAAACCTTAAAAAACATGAATATTCAGCAACCTGCCTGTTCCCCCCTCCTTATGCCATCAGGGAAGTGGAAATACAGAAAATGTGACAGACAAAGCGACATAACATAATTGAGTAAAGGTGTGAAACAATGAGATGTTTTCTTGCATATCGGTGTAATATTTTGTACTCCCACCTTAGCATACTTGTTAGAATGAACACGCAAGTTAAATTAAAAATCCTAAAAATCCATGTGCATTCTCATTTTCCCCACTATGAACTTGCACACTCATCCTTCCACTACTTCATAGCTACTAACTTTGAATATATAAAAGGAGACAAAATAAAGCATCTTTGGGTAAGAGAAATATTGTGCATCTAAAATAAGGAGAAAAAAAAAACGGAAAATGGGGGGAGGAGGTTCACAAAACCACATTCATTTAGAGAACATAGAAAAATCCAAGTTAAAAATACAAACTGGAACAGTGTATGCTAACTAAGCTAAACTGGGCTGCATTTTCTCCTAATAAGGTTTATCTTGCTAGAAGTCAGAGGAAATTCATTTCTTTCTGTGATTTGGTATTTTTATTTACCAAGATTATATGGGAATTCTCTCAAAATACTCTCACAGCTGTTCCTAGATTTGTGTAACAAATAAACACATGTGTAAAATTTAGAACCGAGACCTCTATTACCAAGAATTTTCTAAAACACCTGAAATCTATAAATAAAAAGATGCTATAGAAAAGGCTTTTAAACCTATGGTAAATTTGCCAGCATCAAGCCCTGCATCAAAGAATGAATTCAGGAAGACAGAAAGACCGATACAGAAATGCCAAGAGACCTTCATGGATTTACAAATACTTCATATAAACAAATTTTCAAATAGCTTTATTCAGAGTAGCCTTTCTGCTCTATTAAACATAGCAAACAGCTGCCAGATTTATTCAGACAAATAATCAACAACCATAGAAGTAAAATGGCAGAAGAAAAAGGAATTTTGGCAACAACTCCACAGAGGACCACAGCTATTCTCCAAGTGCACTCCTTCTATGTACTCATGGTTCTGTATGGCCAGTCAGGAAAAAAACCCTCAGTCAAAGCAAAGCACGCAAAAACTCTATCAAAATATCAAGAAGCAAGCAAATAAAAAATGGTGAGGAGGGAGTACAATAACCTTTTTTTTTTTTTTTAAACTTACAGCGTATCTTAGCTTACAGTTTTTTCAGAAGGGAACAGTTTAAAATAAATATGCCAAAGCCTCATTCAATCACTCACCTTGGTTTGCTGAGCAGGTGTAAGGCAGTGAGGCAGGCTTTAGCCAGCAAAGGGTAAGAACAGCAAATAAGTATCAATTGGTTAAGAAAAAAAAATCACAATCCTAACTTTTCACTGTAGTGATCAACTTCACAGAAAATGAAACAAGTAGCACTTAGACTTCATTCTTAATCATTCAAAAATATAGAGGAAAGAAGTGATGCAAAAGTGATTATTAATAATAGCATTGCATAAGATTACTCGTTGGTGTTCTTGACTGCTTTGATAAATATACTAGGTTTCTGAGCTTTACACAGCAATGAGACTGTGTCCCACGGGTATATTCTCATCTCAATGTGGAGGCATTTATACATGTAAATCCCCATACATTGAGATGGATGAGAATACACCATTAAATTTGAATGCCTCCAAAACTCAAGCATTTAGAACTTAAAGACCCAAGAATTTTGTTCAAATTCACTGTAGCATCCTGGATTGTTCAATTTAACCTGTGTATCAAACCAGCTACAATTTTTGTATTATTCATTATAAAAGAGCTATTCAAACCACTAAATTTATTTACATAGGTTTGTGTTTGGCCTAGAATCACTCATAATATTTAAAAAGCGCAACATTCAAAAAATGCCTGCTGAGGTCTATGAAATAACACACTTCCTTTTCAAAAGGTTAGTCCAGCAGGAAATCTTTTTCTTTGTATAGTAAGAAGCATTGTTTTAAGGGGGTAAGATTGTGGCTAACTTCAAGGTAATTGGCAGAGAAAGTACATTAACTATATGCTTGTAACAGTGCCGGGATGCAAACTGATAAAAACACACACTGCATAAATACATGTTTGGTTTATTTCTTGGAGCTGATGGGTCCCAAATTCCTGCCATTAGCACTAATATGAAATGCATTAGTGCATTATGTTAGGAAACCAAAACTCCCAAGGGCCAAAGGTTGATTATGTACTATGTATGGGGGGTGGTTTTTCAAAGGTGTTTTAAAACAGATGTCAAGTAGTACATTTGAAGGTATTCTCTAAATGTAGTCATTAGTATCAGATTGAAAGAGAATGCACAGAATGGTACTAATAACTACACACAATAATATGTCTGTCTATGTATACAGATATGGAAATTAATTCAAACAAAATCAAACATCTTTATCAGTGTTACTTAAATAAAAAAAATCTCACCTTGCTCTTTCATAAAATCTTTCTCTGACATAGTGACAGGTAAAAGTAGTTCTCCAACAGAGGGCTGAATGCTAACATTGAAGTGATTATCCTTTGTGCTAACAAAAGAGAAATTAGAGATTATCAAATGTTTTGTAACAAAATGCTCTATGCATATACATTTACTCCAATTTGATGATTAAATCAATTGATACTGATGAATTTACCGCCTGGGTTTTTACTCTGATAATCCAAAAGCCTACTAAATCTAACAAAACCCCCCCAACCAAACCTCTCACCAGCACAGATGTAATACGAATGCAACACTATGTATTTTAAGCTACGTATTTTTGAGAAAGTTATTTTTACTAATAATGTTTACTTAGACTAATATCAAATTAGAACTCAACTACAAACATGCCAAAAACAAATAAACATATATTATTATTTTTTGAAAATGGTCTGTTAGTTGCAAAGTTCAATAATCAACAACAGATGTCTCAACCATAGATAGGCATGAATTAGCAATATTTTACTTCACTTAATGCTATAAATAAATTAAAAAAAATTCTTACGCAGATTGTTTATTTGGGGAAAAGTATTTTAACAATCTTTTTATGCAGCATTGAACATCTTCAGAAAAACACTGGATCTGTTACAGTAACAGTTATACCGCTAAACCTAGATGTAATTTAGAAGCAGAAGAATCACAACTGTCTGAAAAATCATAGCAACAAACTAATTTTGAAGGCAAAAGAATAATCCATTGTTTTAGTTTTGTAAACATTTTTGACAACATAAAATATAAGCTAGGGCTTCATCTGAAGCAGTACTGGAAACACTTAAATCTGGAACTAGCTTTTATAATGTCAGACAGAAAGGGAAAATGTATAGTATCAGTAGCATTGTGCTAATTAGTAACATCATGCTAATACAGTTATCCGCTGCAGATTCCCACTTAAAGCAATCCCACATGGTGAACTCACTCTTAGTATTCACCTAACTCTCTACAGAGTTCAGATTTATTTATACCTGATGCTAATCCTATAAAAATTCAAGTTAGTTTTGCTATGCCATGTTCAGTTGGTTAACTACAGTTTGTGGTGTCCAGCTAATGATTCATGCCCAGGCATATACCAGTAAAATCTTTGCTCCAAATGTAGGGCATGTGAAATTTTAGAAAAGTAAAACTTCTTTCAGTTAGCTGTTCTGCCAAATAATCAACTAATATTGATTGCTAGTAGGCCTCAGTTATCCTACTTAAATATATCGGTGCAATCATTAGTAGCAGAAAAATCAATTGATTAATATCCATGGTATTTAAATTAATCTCAAACATTTGTTATTGATTTTTTATAACTTTTCAACCAGAAATCTCTGAAATTAGATTGATTGATGTATGAAGCAGCACTGGATGATTAATATAGGGGGTATTTTGTCCTCCTTTTAAAAAAAATTAAAAGACAACCATCTAAAACAATATATTTTTCAATTAAATGCAAATATTGTTACTAAATCTGTGGCAACTAGATGAACTGTAGTAAGGCAAACATGTAATACAGGGACTATATACACTTCATTATTTACTTTCTAGTTTCAGACATTATAATTAAGCTTTTATACAGCATCTCAAATATTGATGTTTCCAATGTAATCCAGCAAGAACTATAACTGTCACTGCTATTCTAAATCTATGTTCACTAAATATACATTGAAACTGTTTCTAAGTCTGTCTGAGATGCCTAAGAATTGTCATGAGGTGCCTATTTCAGTTTGTAAATATTTTTAAAGTATCGTTGCAGTTCTGAGAAGCATTATTCTCCAACAAAGTGAGTGCCACCAGTCCTTATGTAAAGACAGCAAAACACCTGAATTAGCATGGATGCAGTAACGTGTCAGGATTAAATACGCTGATTTTTTTGTCTTTTCCCCCCATTTTTATATTTTTCATATGAGAACTAAAGAAATTATGAGTACCACAAGCAAACAGATAAACTTTTAACTGACAGTCCCACATAAAATGCATGTGGTTTATCAGGATTATTTGGACTTTATTAGTTCCAAGATATTTTAGCAGCAATTCATAATGACTTTACATTTCAAATGATAACCAAGAATAGGCGCAACTATTTAATAAATGAAGTTTATTAACAATTTAAGAACCTAAATGCTTCATACAGGTCTGAAAGTTAATATATGTAGGGCATGATATAGCATTTCCAAATTTACATGGGTTAACCCTTTCAGAGTTGGAAAATAGGAAGGTATCAGTGTAGCCTGGCTCCTAAACAACTATACTACGCTAGTGGGAGAGATTTTTAAGTCAGCATTGTTCTAACTGTCCTCCCTCCCAAAAATTAAGTAACAAGCTAATTAATAGTCTTAATAAACCATGATATGTTTGTGGTTGTGATGGCTTTAGCTTTCACAGTATAATTCCTGCTTGCTATCTGGTCTTACTTTGGCTATAAGATTGAGTTTATTTTGAGATAGAATTTGTTGAGATTCAGCATACATCAATAAATAAATTTAATAGAACAAAGCTATTCTTCCTCAGAGTAAGATTCTTTAATCTAGATGTTACTGACGAAATGTTAGTGTTCTTTACAGGCTTTCATCCATTTTGCTAGGACTACACAGTTTTCTGAGAACATCTTTTATATCCAATTTATTTATGGATATAACATACTTAAAAATTGAACGGAATATAATCTAATAATACATTACATAATTTAAATAATTTAACAGTGCAGGCTGTTGCCTATGAAAGTTCGTACTTCTCTGAACCAGTTAGTCTCTAGGTGCCACCCTCGCCACCTTCTGATATAACTATGTTATATCAAAACCTGTAAGATGCACTTAATCACTTAGAAGCCCCTTTCAGAAACAGTTTTCAATGTTCTAGCAGATCAGTTAAAACTTCACTAGAACCTGTTTTACAAGTCTAAGTCTTTTGAGAGGTTAAGTTTAAGAAACAGCTGCAACAGAAAAGAAAAACCAGCAAACCGGATGAAGAATCAGAAATAGTCATTAGTATGTAAGTAAACCCTGGGCACGTTGCTCTACTTTTCAAAAACTAAAGCCTTTCTGTAATTTTAGTAGCAGCCACCATCTGTCTAAAGATATAAGCTGAACTTAAGAGGAGTAACACTCCCTTAGTAGTCTGTTAAAAAAGCTAAGGATGTGTTATAACACTACATTACCACCCAGCAAAAGATACCTCATGTACAGAATTGTGCCCTGTACAGATGTAGAGAGCAAATTAGATCTCAGCATTATTTGTACTTTGCCTTGAAGGTTGTTAAATTCTATATATTACAGTTATGGAAAGCTGTCACCATTGTGGCTTTAGAGAACTGTGTAGATGCTTCCTCTGATCATCCAAGAAAAGCAAACAGATATGAGATAATAATGCTCCTATAGAAGAGTGAGCAATCATCTGCTTTACACATTTAACATACTGTAAGACTGCCAAAACACGATTTTAATTCTTTCTGCAATAGGAACTTTTATTACTTATTTGAAACCAACATCTTCTCTGTCCCTCTCTGCCAAACAACTGGCTCACCCAAATTCTAACAAAACACCAAAAGTTGTTTGGACTGGGTGTTGGGGATCAGATGCAAAAGCCAGAGATATCTGCCTGCCAGTAACAATCTGGGTAATCTTGGGACAGAAGTCATGGAATAATATAATAATCTGTGGTTGGAAAAGATCTCAAAGGTCAATTTATATAACTCTTGCTTGCACAGATACAGGATTAATTGTTCCTAAACCATCCAAGCCAGCTGTTTATCTCAACCCTTCTTGAAAATCAATTAAACGGATTGTACTACTACCCAAGGCAGCTGATTCCATTGCCCTGTTGTTCAGAAGTGTTACTCAAGACTTCCTGTAAATCTTCTTTGCTGCCGTTTCAACACACTGCCTTTTGTCTATCTCCCTATGACAAGAGAAAATAATTTTTCTCCATCTTCTTTAGGGTAGAGTTTCAAATACTAGAATACTGCTATCGTGCCCCCCACCCTCAATCTCCTTTTCTCCAGATTAAATATACCAAAGCCCCTTCAATTTTGAAATCCAATCTTGAAACTAACAGTACTATAATCATAGAAAATTAGGGTTGGAAGGGACCTCAGGAGGTCATGTAGTCAACCCCCTGCTCAAAACAGGGCCATCCCCAACTATGTATCTCCATCTTCGGAGGTTTTTAAGAGCCACCTAGACAAAGCCTTGGCTGCGGTGATATAGTCAAGGCTTTGTCTAGCCAGGTCTTGAACCTCTGAGGATGGAGATTCCATCACCTCTCTGGGTAACCAGTTCCAGTACTTCAATACCATCCTAGTGAGACAGTTTTTTCTAATGTCTAACCTAAAATTCCCTTGCTGCAACTTGAGACCATTGCTCCTTGTTCTGTCACCTGCCACCACTGATAACAGCCCAGCTCCATCCTCTCTGGACCCACACTTCAGGTCGTTGAAGGCTGCTATTAAATCCCCTCTCAGTCTTCTCTTCTCCAGACTCAATAAGCCCAGTTCCCTCAGCCTCTCCTCAGAAGTCATTCTCCCCAGCCTCCTAAACCATTTTTGCTGCCCTTCGCTGGACTCTCTCTAATTTGTCCACATCCCTTCTGTAGTGGGGGCCCTAAAACTGGGCACAGTACTGCAGATGTGGCTTCAACAGTGACGAACAGAGGGGAAGAACCACTTATCTTGACCGGTTGGCAACACCGCTACTAATGCAGACCTGTATGCTGTTAGGCTTCTTGGCAAGGGTGTTCCCCCTTCTGTTGGCTCACATTCAGCTTATTGTCCTCTAATAGTACTATCACTTAGATAAGGTTTTAAAATATTGCCACACAACATTCTTTGGGTAGATGTGATGACATTTGCCCAAAGAACCTTGTCTGCTTATGCCCTTAGATCAACACAGCTACAACCAACACCCCCGGAAGTATTGCCAGGTAATTCTCTACATAAGTTATCTACTTACTACTAATTGCTCAAAGTAGTTAAGTAATGACCAGTTTCTACTGAAAATATAAAACTTTCCAACCTACCTACTCACCCTTGCAGAACAGCACTCTGACATGTGATGATAAAGTACACTTTGTTTCTAT